GTCTGTGTGTGGTGTGCGTGTCTGTGTGTGGTGTGCGTCTGTGTGTGGTGTGCGTGTCTGTGTGTGTGCGTCGGTGTGGTGTGCGTGTCTGTGTGTGGTGTGTGAGTCTGTGCTTGTTACACCCTGCAGGGTGGTAACACAGGTCCCTACCCACCCAGGGGCTCGCGTGAGGGACAGTTTTTAGGCAGCGGTGGGTCTAGGCTGGGGGGTTAACGCCACTTCCTCGCGGTGGACTCGCGGTCTGGCTCCCTCTCGACTCCTTCCTGAAGTAGGAATGTTTCCATCCAGCACGTTCTGCCTTGCGTAGACTCACAGTCCGTGGAGCGTGGGCTTCAGCTTTTCCGACGATTGAGTGAGTGTGAACCGCAGCAGCGAGCCTCTGGCCGTGGCCGCTCTGCCGAGGCCCTGCCCGCAGAGGAGAGCTACCAGGGCAGCGTCCTCCCGTTTCCCGTGAGGCAGCGGCTTGAGTTCCAGCGTGACCGGAAGAGGCCGTTTATCTAGTCTCTCCTCCAGCAGGAAGGCTCGGTCAAACAGTAAATCACCCAGACACGGGGGGTTTGCTGCCGTTTCTAAACCGCCTCTCCCCTTTCTCCCTGCAGAGGAGCTCCTGCCGTCGGGGTCTGTGGTGTTTACTGGAGAAACAGCGGTCGGCGTCTGCCCTTGGGGCCTGTCTCTGTTGTTGCTCCCTGGCAGGAGCACGAGCGGTCTGTCTCAGTCTTCTGAACCTTGAATCTCCTTTGCTGCGGCTTGCAGGTGGCACGGACATCATCTCCTGCTTCATGGGGCAGAACTCCTCTATCCCTGTGTACAGAGGGGAGATCCAGGCCCGGAACCTGGGCATGGCCGTGGAGGCGTGGAGCGAGGAAGGTGACGGCTTCACTCACGTCCTTCTCTCTGTGCCTGCTGTGAGGGTGACCTGGAAGTGCTCGGCTGCGTAACGTGGGTGCTGGTTCTCCACAGCCGCCCTGTGTGAGGGGGGCGGCCCCTCTTGCTTGCAGGCTGATGTCCCTCTGGCCTGGTTAACACCCGCTGGCTCCCCAGCCCCTTCAGCCTGCGCACCTGGGAAGTGGGTGTTGGGCTGGAGCACAAATGCAGAGCTGTGCTCGGGAACGGCAGGCGGGCAGTCGTTCCCCCAGCACCCGAGCGTTGGAGATGCTGCGGAGGCAGCCCGCTCCCTCGCTAGCCTGGTGCCCTGGCCTTGACGAGGACCCAGACGGGGAGCTGGGGGTTGGCCTCTGTCTTGGTCTCAGGACAAGCTTTTGCTTCGTAGCCTCTAGCGGCCACTGTCTATAAATCAGCCTGTGTGTGTCCCCAGCACCAAACAGGGCCTGGCGTGTGGTGTGTGCACTGTGCAAGTTCATGGACTTACACTGTTGGCACTGCAGCCACTGTTATTTTAACCTGACGGAGGGGATGGGGAGGTTATGCCCCCCGCCCCTGCCCCGAGGAAGAGGGAAAGACCACAACAGTGGTGGCCATGCCGTGTTAGGGGCCGGAAGCCTGGGGAGAGCAGAAAGGGTCTCTCCCGCCTCCGGTTCATGGCACTGTTGCCAGCGACCTTTCTGAAAATCAGTTCTTGGTTTGAGAAGAGGGCGTCTCCCTTTTGCCACCCAGAGTGATCTGCTCATACAAGGTCTCTGCTCCATTTGTCTGTGTTCTTCCCGGCTGGGTGAACCGTCTCTCTTGGGCCTGGCCGCTGCTGCATTCTGTGGCCTGCCCAGGAGGGAGCGGCTCCTGGCAGAGAGAGCCAGACGCGGGCTGTCTCTCCAGTTTGCAGATGCACGTCAAATCATCTGTCCGTCTTCTGTCTCAAGGGTGTCGTGGGATGAAATGAGCTAGTGAGGTGAAAGAAATCTGAAAAGTCAGGAGCCTCCACAGACTTCTCTAATACAAACCCTACCATGCTCTGCCCGTGGAAGGTGCCGGATAAACAGGCACCAGCCGGCTGACCGCTTCTGCGAGCCGAGTCGTCAGAAGAGATGTCCTCCTATCCTCTCTTGTTGGCCTCTGCGGCTGAGCACAGGGCTAGAAACGGGCCACCCTGGAGGGAGCAAGTGTGACTCGGGAAAACTCCTTCAGCAAACCATCTGGGGACAGTGAGTGAGGGTGGGGACGTGTAGGTGCCCCGGGATCTGGGAATCCTGCCCCGGGGAGGAGTACTGCAGATACGAACAAGGTGGCCTGTACAAGAAGGTTCCCAGCAGCAGGGGTCGTAATAGGAAACACGATCGGGAATGACACAAGCCTACGTCTCAGGGAGGATAAACTGCTGTGGTCCCCACGGAGAGTTACGGGCAGCGAGGGCGAGTGACGAGGTGCTGTATGGTTGTGAGCGAGTCACCGGCTGTGACGCTGCGAGAGCAGAGCACGACGCTGGACAGCTGCAGGGTGGCACCATGTGTGCGGAGCTCAGACACACGCAGAGAGACGTGTGTTCAGAGATGCGTGTAGACGTGGTGGAAGTGTTACCGTGCCTGGGAACGAGAAAACATTATGGTCAAGAGAGGGGTTTGGGGGAGGGCGTCAGAGGAAGGTCATTGGGGAGGAATCAGCTCGGCCTTCATGGCGCCGATGTGCTGGGCAGTGGTGTGGATCAGCTCTGCACTGTGTGTGTGTCCGAAATACTGCATAATAAGTAAGAGCTTGAAAAAGAGAGAGAGCGAGCGAGCCGGGGTGTGTGGCTGTGGTGTGTGCTCTGTTAATTTTTTAATTCCTCCCCAACCAGGAAAGGCTGTGTGGGGAGAGAGCGGAGAGCTGGTGTGCACCAAGCCGCTTCCCTGCCAGCCCACGCACTTCTGGAATGACGAGAACGGGAGCAAGTACAGGAAGGCCTATTTCTGCAAGTTCCCAGGTAGGTGGGGGTGCAGGCAGAGCCGCCCAGGCTGGCCCTGGGCTGGGCCTCCTGCGTGCAGTTCCAGATGCTCCCCCACCCCCTCCGGAGCCTGGGAAGCTGCTCACACCTCATTCCGCCAGTGGGTGATGATGAATTTTTGAGCAGTATCTTGTCATTTCAGCTTGAAGCCGTCATATGGCACTGTAATCTGGGTTTAGTGTAATCCTAACCACCCCGTGCCCAGAGCCCTTTGGCCCCAAGCCCTGCTGCCGGGCGCTGCACGAGCCAGCGGTGTGTGGAGGGAGGGCGGAGGGCCCACCGTGTCTGCCTGTTGAGAGAGGAATGGCGTGTGCACGTGGTGTCTGGCCGGGTCTCCTCCTTTCTGTCCCCCACACCATCACCCGGTCCTCGCGGAGAGGTTGGGGGAGGAGCACTCGTGCGCTGGGGTGGTTTACAGCCGGGCCTGTCGCTTGCACGCACAGTGACACCCTCGGGCCTCCTCTTCTGAGGGGCGCCATGCTCCGGGGCGGGCATGCTGTTGATTTAAAGCTCTGACTCCTGCTCTGACTCCTGCCTCCCTCTTACCTTATTGCATAAGCAACCCCGAGTTACTGCTGCTGTATAATTCATAGTTTAGTGAGCCTTCTGTTCCAGAGTTACTTATGTGAGGTACTTGCTTTCTGTGGTCTCTGGAAGGTAATCAGATGTTCCATAAACCACGTGTGGAGCATCAGAAAGCAGCAGGTGACCCTTGGTGCTGGAGTTGATCACGGATCTCTCCGTTTCTCTGCTCGGCCTCGCGTGTTTGCGCATCCTATGTAAAAGCCTGTGTACTTGGCATAGCCCCCCCCCCCCCCATATGGGCGTTGCAGGAGCACCACCAGATGTGGCTCGGCCTCCACTGGATAGGTACCTGCACGCCTTGGGTCCTGCCGGTGTGCAGCTGTCCAGACAGACTAAGGCAGGACAGAGAGAGCACAGAGAGAGAAATGTTCCTCAGATGACCCTGCAGAAGAGGGCAGGGGCTCCTGTCTTAGGAAGGGAGGCCAAAAGCATTGGAACCTCAGCTTGAGGGTCTGTGTGAGAAATGACATCTCTTCATCTTCTGCCACACTGTCTGTGAAAACCATCTTTTCTGTCACTTTTTGTTATGTATACAAGAGTTCACGTGATATTGTCTTTCAGGACTAATTTCAGGATAAGTCTTCCATTGTTTTGAAGCTCTGATATTTCTTCTTAGAGAAGACAAATACTTTTATGTTTGACCTGTTAAATATAAATGTGACCTGTTATATTTCCATTTTTGCCTTGGCTACCAGGAAACTCAGAGCTGAAATCATTGCTTTGTTGTAGGAGTCCTCTTACTTCCAGTGCAGGGTTTCTGATTTTTCTTTAAATAATCCCGTCACATAGTCAGTTTTACAGGTAGCTTCCTCGAGTTCTTCCTGGGAGTTATGAATAAGTGTGGAAAGACAGAGGCAGATGAGACAACAGGATCTGAAGTTGTTGGTCATGGACAGGGTGACGCAGGTTGAACTTAGACTGTTTCTCCAAGCCCCAGCACTGAGAGATTTTGGGACTGAGTAGGAAATGGGTTGATGATAAAAGAAAACAAAAAAGCCAGGTCTGTCTTTCTGCAGTGGGCAGTCACTTACAGACGTCATTACCCTGAAAAATTAGGCTGGGTGAAAATGTCAACAGGCAATGATATCCAAGAAATTAGGTGAAAAACAAGAGTTCAGAACAGAGGGCATAGTGTCCTTTTTGTGTAAATTTTAGAAAGGAAATAGATGTGTGTGAGTGTGTGAATAAATGCACAATAAGGGGTTATCCGAGCGGTGGGATTTGGAACCATTTTGATTTTCTTTATGACTTTTCATTATTTTAAAAACATGAAAAAACGTAAAAAGAATTTAAAAGCAGACGTAAGAAAGATTTAGATGGTTCTGATTCTTCAAAACAGTGATTTTAGCTCTGAGTTTCCTGGCAGCCAAGGCAAAAAGGGAAATATAATAAGTACAGATGGTTGCAGATGACAAATTCCGAACAAGAGACCAGGCCTGCCCAGGAGCTGTCAAGGTTTTGAGCCTGATGACATGGAGGCAGCCAAAGCTTCCCTCGGCCCTCGTCAGCGAAAGAGGTTGAAGTGGAAGGTGGCCCGAGTCGTAACTCCTGGGGTCATAGGCCCTTCAGTAAGAGAAGCGTGTGTGTGTTGATTCGTGTTTGTAAATAATGGTCCGTTTATGGACGTGGAAAGCTGTGGCATCATCTTTTTTAACGTACAAAAACGCATGCTCACTGTAAGAAGAGCTCAGGCAGTCGGCCTCCAGGAGTTAGAGATGAGAGAGAGGCTGAGCCGGCCCGTGCGTCCCGCGTGTCTGTTCACCGTCCGTCACTGAAATGAGAGAGCAGGACCAGCAGGGAAGCAAAGCCGTCGGCTGGGGAAACAGTTTGACCTGCAGGTGGGGGGCTTGGAAACCTGGAAGGAGACCCTCCGTTTCTTTGACGTGACAGCCTGGCACCAAGCCCCCAGCCCTTGTGGAGTCATCGTCTCAGCTTGGTTCTGCAGGGGACCGAGGCATCTCATTTCATGTTCACAGACGAACGTGTCTTCAGGGTGGGTCTGCCTCTTCCTCTTTCTCGGCGTTCCCAGGCCCTCAGTGACGATCAGACTCGCGGGAGGCCCAACTCCACACGAGCCAGACTGTGTGGATCCTGGCACGCACGTTCCGCGACGAAGAGGCTTCCCGGGCGGCGGGCGGGCGGGCCGGGCTCTGCTGCTGTGTCTGCAGCTCCCTGCCTCCTGGGACTCCGTTTATGAAGCCGCTTTTCTGAGTGGCATCGTGATGTGCTTCTGCAAAAACCTGCCACGTCGTTTGCAAGCCTAGGAATGATGTTTCTTCCTGTTTGTGTGGGTGAATCTTTTAAAAGTCCAGTTGGAAAGGAAAGCTTTCATTCCTTTGCCTGGGAGGAGGGAGGAAGGTCCTGGGGCCTGCAGTCCTCTTGTGCGTCAGGATACACGAGTTTATGAGTCCTTTGTTCTCAAACTGCCTCCCGAGGACCCTGCTCCCTGCAAACAGGCGTCCTGGCTTCCTCTCCACAGAGCCTCAGTCGTGGCCGCGGCAGCGCCTGCGTCAGGACGCTGACCTGGAGGGACCGGGATCAGCGGACTACGTTGTCGGGGGAGGGGCAGCGCCTCGTGAGTGGAGAGCACACTGGGCGAGCACTTCAAGTCGGGAGGTGTCTCAAGAATTGGGAAGGAAGAGATGCTCCCAGTGAAGACGGGGGAGCAGTTGTATTTAGTATTTTCCCTTTCCGGAAAGGGAAGTGTGCAGTGTTACTGCACAAATGGGGTTCTCCTACCTGGTGGGCATAAAAAAAGCCAATTATTACGGCATCAGCTTTGGGACAAGAAATGTAGCTTTATTTTGCGAGATTGATCTCCAAGGAGACGGGCCTGTGCTCTCAGATCTGTCTCCCCAATCCAGAGCTTGGGGCACAATTTATGGGATGAAGGGCAGGGCGGACGGAAGTGTGGCAATGTTACCACACAGAATTGGAGTTCTCTTGCCCAGTGTACATAAACAAGCCAATTAATTACGGCATCAGCTTTTGGGAAAAGAAATCAGCTTTATTCTGCGAGATCAGTCTGCAGGGAGACAGGGTATGTGCCGTCAGATCTGTCTCCTCGATTCAGGATTTGGGGTGAAATTTAAGAGGTTAGGGAGAACAGGCTGGCACGCGGAAACGCAGCACAGGTTTTCATTCGTGCGCTTCAAGCATTTATGGTAGAGTTCTCAACATTTGTGGTGAGGTGGAGAGGGATTTTAACACGGGATCTTCCTGAATGAGGGAGCCCTCGCTGCTGATGAGAGTCCGACTTTCAAGTTCTGGTCACGTCCTGGTCCTCGGGATCCGTGGGGAGGAGAGTCTTTGGTTCCGCAGTCATCTCAGGTCACGGTTTCTTCTGCGTGTGCTCTGGCTACGTGACTTGGCACATTTTGTGAAAGGCAATTCTTTTTTTTTTTAAATTTTTTGTTTATTGCAGTAATATTGGTTTATAACGTAAAAATTTCAGGTGTACGTCATTATACTTCTATTTCTGCATAGATTACATCATGTTCACCACCCAAATACTAATTATAACCCATCACCACACACATGTGCCGAATTATCCCTTTTGCCCTCCTCCCTCCCCCCTTCCCCTCTGGTAACCACCAATCCAATCTCTGTCCCTATGTGTTTGCTTACTGTTGTTATTATCTACTACTTAATGAAGGAAATCATACGGTATTTGACCTTCTCCCTCTGACTTATTTCACTTTGCATTATACCCTCAATGTCCATCCATGTTGTCACAAATGGCTGGATTTCATCATTTCTTATGGCTGAGTAGTATTCCATTGTGTATATATACCACATCTTCTTTATCCATTCGTCCCCTGATGGGCACGTAGGTTGCTTCCAAGTCTTGGCTATTGTGAATAATACTGCAGTGAACACAGGGGTGCATGTACCTTTACAAATTGGTGTTTTCAAGTTCTTTGGATAAATACCCAGCAGTGGAATAGCTGGATCATATGGTAGTTCTATCCTTGATTTTTTGAGGAATCTCCCTACTGTTTTCCATAGTGGCTACACCAGTTTGCACTCCCACCGGCAGTGTATGAGAGTTCCCTTCTCTCCACATCCTCTCCAACACATGTTGTTTCCTGTCTTGTTAATTATAGCCATTCCAACGGGCGTGAGGTGATATCTCATTGTAGTTTTGATTTGCATTTCCCTGATAGTTAATGATTTTGAACATCTTTTCATGTGTCTGTTGGCCATCTGTATATCTTCTTTGGAGAAATGTCTGTTCAGGTTTTTTGCCCATTTTTAAATTGGGTTGGTAGTTTGTTGTTGAGATGCATGAGTTCTTTATATATTTTGGAGATGAACCCCTTATCAGATGTATGGTTTGCAAATATCTTCTCCCAATTGTTAGGTTGTCTTTTCGTTTTGTTGATGGTTTCCCTTGCTGTGCAGAATGAAAGGCAATTCTTACTCACTGTTGATAAGATGGGGTCATTGAACTGGTCCTGGGGGCCTGCGGTTACAGCAGGGACTCGGGGGCTCATTTCAGGAGGCCAGGCTGCTGTGGCCTGTGACTTCCAGGTCACTGTAGAGCCAGCGGAGACGTGCTCTTGATTGTTCAGGCTCAGTTGGCCCCGTTTGTGTGGTGACCGAGGCCACTGCATTTGCAGTGGGAAGAGCCTCTCACCTGGAATTGCTCCCCTGACGGTTCCCTCGTGGGCGTGGCTTCTCTTTACTGTCCGATGTGGGCTGAGGGTGTGTCCGAAGCCAGGGGTTTGATCCCTTGGGTGTATTTGCTTTGCTGTGCCCCAGAACGAGGGCCTCTGCTGCACACGGCTGGCCCAGGACCCAGCCACACACTCTGGCCGTGTGGGGGTGGCTCAGTGTGGCTTGGTGTCGGTGTCACTGTCACCTCTGAGTCTTCCCCCTCCCCCCGTGTGCCCTGGGTTTCTCCTGCTAGTTAGCTCTCTGTTCAGAGAGCGCTCTGTCCCCGTGGCTGGTGCTGAAGTTCAGGCTTGCATTTCTGGGACTGTCGCTGTAGCCTCCTGCCTGGTCGTGCGGCTTGTTTATTCCATTCCAAGATTGCCCCCCCCCCCCAGACCAGCTCCCTCAGCCGCCCCAGACCACCCTCTTCCTAAGACATGGCCTGTACTTCCCACCCTCCATTCAGAGGGCCCTCCCCAGAGCCCCCATGGACCTCCCCCAGGGCCCGGTCTTCACATCCTCACAGCTGGGGTTGGTCTCACCCCCGTGAAGTCCCAAGGCCCTTGTCACCGCCTGCAGGAGTGGCATTTCTCAGATGCTGGCGTGAGTCAGAGCTGGGTGTACGGTGGCCACCGCTAGCAGGTGTGCTCCTTGGGGGCATGAACTGTCTGGTTCACTTCTACCCCCACCCCTGGGCCCCCAGCCCCTTTATCATACCTGTGTCTGGGCCTTGGCTGTGTCCGCTGACGAGAGTTACGTGCTGAGTTGACGAGCCCCCTGTTGCTGTCGTGCCTGCCGCGGTGTCTGTCCAGCCACTGGTCAGGGCCCCTTCTCCTCGGGGTGACTGGGCGCCTCTGTTTCCCTGCAGGGGTCTGGGCGCACGGCGACTACTGCAGGATCAACCCCAAGACCGGGGGCATCGTCATGCTGGGCCGGAGGTGAGGGGTCTGCGGAGCCGGCTTCCCTTTCTGAGGCATCTGGGGAGGGGGAGGGGAAATGCTTACTGTGTCCTGGGCCCCTCTGTCTGCTCGGTCTGCAGTGGGGGCCCTTCCCGTGTCAGAGTCCTGAGGGCCGGGTCTGGCCTGATCCACATTCTCCGCCCCAGAGTGGGGGGTTGGCGGCGTTGGGGTAGGAGGCCCGTAGCAAAGGTGCGGCGTATATCCATGCACAGTGATGATGGTCCTTCCGGGACAGGGGGTGTGTGGGTGTCAGGGTGCACACCACCCCTGGGAGTGGGGCACACGTGTACAGGTGGGAGGGGCAGTGAGGTGACAGATGCTTCCACGCAGAGGGGACTCTCTGGATGTCTGGCTGAGTTTAGAGAGAGGCAGAGGGGTGGCTGGTTGGGATAAGGAGCCTTCCTGACGGGCATGGTAGTGTCACGTGGAAAGGGGGTGACTGCCCCCTGGGCCCCCTCTGCGACATGCTCACTCAGGAGCTGCTGTGTGTTCACTACCTCATCTCTCCAGTGACGGCACCCTCAACCCCAACGGAGTGCGCTTCGGCAGCTCGGAGATCTATAACATTGGTATGCGTTTCCCTTTCTCCCTGATTATTCTCAAGTCAGCTGGGAAGGAGGGAGCCCCAGGGTCTGCTTCCCAAAGGTCCCACCTTTGGGATAACTCTGGCCCATTTGCCTCCACGTGTGAGAAGAGACATGATAAGCATGTCCTTCTTCCCAGAACGTACCTCATCCACATTGCTTGTAGCTCAGAAAACCTCAGAACGGGGCTCTTAAGGTCACATGGCCTATCCCCGTTCTATTACATTTCATCGTCATGGTGAGCTCTGTCAGGTTGGTTGACTGTGTCTACTCTTTATGGCTGAAGAAGGAGAAGCACAGAGAGGTTGCGTGATTGGTGAAGATCACACAGCACCATTCAGGACACCAGATCAAGACAGTGGGGCTCACGGCTGCATAGTATAGTCACCTGTGGGGCTTCAAAATCCCCCACCAGGGCCCTGAAATCAGCCGCCCTGGGAGGTGGCCCCATACAGATGTCGGAGTCCCAAAGTCGTGTCGAGGCTGTGCGGCCAGGGTGGTGATTCCAGCCTTTGTTCTTCCCCACAGTGGAGTCCCCACCACGGGCACTTGCTTCCTTTCTGTTTTTAAATTAATTTGTGACTAAGTACGTAAGGCCCATGTGTGCTCCCTGTCAGCTCCAGCTCGGCAAGCTCTGCCTCCCCAGGGTGGGGCTCCTCCCGGGAGGGCTGGGAGGACACACGGGCGGCCCCCGCCCAGCCCGGTGGCCCGAGAGGCGTCGCTGGGCGAGGCGGGACAGCGCGAGAGTGGCCCCTGCCCTGTGCCCGCAGTGGAAGCCTTCGAGGAGGTGCTGGATAGCCTGTGTGTCCCGCAGTACAGCAAGGACGGGGAGGAGAGGGTGCTGCTCTTCGTGAGGATGGCTGCCGGCCACGCCTTCCTGCCCGGCCTGGTGAAGAGCATCCGTGACGCCATCCGCGTCGGCCTGTCTGCCCGGCACGTGCCCAGCCTCGTCCTGGAGACCAAGGGCATCCCGGTACGGCCGCCGAGGGGCTCTGTCGCCTGCCCCCGGGCAGCAGCGACCCGAGCGCCATCATCCCCCGGGAGCCCGCACACCTGGGGACCCTCCTCTGGAAGCTGGCTCCTGCTCTGTGTCCAGTTTGTCCGCCTTGCCTGGCAACCCCGTCCTTGCTTTTCTCCGCCACTTCTGTTTTTTCACGCTTCCTAAATTGCATTCAAGGCAACTTCTGCTCAACACCGGTGTTCAGAGGGTAGGCAGGCCCCGCCTGCACGTCCAACGGGCTTTTCCCCAATGTGGTTTCAGTGGTTCTCAAAATTATTAATGAGAAAATTAATTTTCACTTTTTAAAGAGCCGCTGGGGTGCTGTTGCTTTCGCCTTTTAATTCTGAGTTCTGCCTGTGGAAAGAGGATTTGAATCTGTTTAGAGGCCGTCTCCAGAAAGCTGCTCCCCCGAGAGCTTCTTTTAGGTTCTGGTGGGGGAGGAGGTTCGCCCGGATGGACCACAGCTTTAACTTGCAACACGGACGCCTCTGTCTGCCAAGAGGAGAGACTGCCGTGTGCGTGAGCACACACGTGTGCACAGAGCAGTCTGCACACACAGACACGCAGCAGGCTGCGTCTCAAGGCTGCAGAGTGGCCGCTCAGGAGGAGGAGAGGAGCAGATACTAACGGGGCAACAGGGAGCCAAGTTCCAATGTCGCCCCAAGCAGACGGGGGTGTGAGGGGCAGTAGAGATGGGGTCTGCTAGGAAAGGCAGCTTCCTGGGAGATCCAGAAAGATGCAATGCCCTTGACTTTGAAACCCCCCGAGCAGACAGAGCCGTGCTGCCCCGATCACGGTCGGCTTACACGGTGACAGGTCTTCATGCGGGCACGGAGCCTTTCACATGTCATCTCCTTTGCTCTCTGCTCCGTGTCCCCTCCTCAGAGGCTCTCCCCGAGTCCTGTTCACGACCATGTCCCCTTGCCCCTGTCTTGACCCCCACTCCGCTGTCCTCTCTTGGTAGTTCCCCTCTGGGCCAGGGTGGGTTCTTGTTTACGGGCCGGGTCTTTTCTGTCTGGAGGGCAGGGACCCTGTTGGTTCACGCCCGTCTCCCCAGAGCGCAGCCTTCTGCTAGCAAACAGCAGGCACTCAGACGTGTCACACGTGAGCGAATGAGTGGTGTGTGGAGCTGGCCCTCCTGGCTTCCTGGGGAGGAGGGATGAGCTGGGCTCTTTCTCGTCTGCTCTACAGATGAGCAAACCCAGAGAAGGTGAGCGGTCCTGCCCAGGGAGGTGAGGATTGGTGGCCAGAATAAAGCCCCTGGGACTTGGGGCTGGTCACGGCCGAGGGGCGCAGGCTCGGGGCGTTTGAGGGTGGCCAGGCTGGCCGGGCGTCAGGCAACCCCGACTGCCCTGATCCTAGCAGATCTCTGTCCCCGGTCACAGTTAGGTCCCCTGGCCCATCCTGACAGGAGGCAGCGTGACTTTTATCTCTTGGGGGGGCCGGGGCAGGAGCCCAGGGAGTATCCTCCATCCCCCCCGCCCTCCTCACCAGAGGAAACTGGCAGGATTTCTTATAAGACGATGCCTTGTTTATTTTGTCAGCTAATGGAAGATACACGTTTCTAGTTCCCGTGAGCGTTCTTGGAGCTTTTGTGTAAAGCTAAGCAGCACAGAGAGCACGTGAGACGCTTGCATTTCAAGGCGAGAGGGCTGATGCCACCAAGTGACAGGCAGTCCCTGGGAAGCCAGTGTGTAGATCTTTAATTAGTTCACACGTTGACTGGGGTTTTCAAATGAATGAATTTTAATTACATCTCAGGTAAAAAAAAAAAACAGTGCCAGCAAGGGGAGAGATCAGGGCACTGGCAGCTTTATTAAAGGGCTCTGTTGTTCTGGAGGCTTCCTAGCCCCTAAAGACGCTAACGCTGCTGCCAGAATCCATTGGGACTAAAGATGAAACACACACGCTACAAATTTTAGAGGCAGCCTGAACGTTGGGGAAGAGTTGGACTACGAGAAGCAGCAGTGGGCCATCCCACTTGCGAGTGGGTCTGAGGAGAGATTTTGTGGAGTTTTGATGAGGTCCCTGGACGAGGCTCAGATTCTGTTCGCAGATGGGTGATGGAGTCGTAGGAAGCCAGCTCCCTCCTGAGACAATAGTGATAGTTGGTCTTTATAACACAGTAAAGTGTAACAAGATAAATATAGATCGTGAAATAGAACCAGTGTAAATAGTAAACGAGAGCAGCGAGGCACTGCAAGGGCTGTGAGTGTGTCACCTTGTCGAACCTGCCCCCAGCCTCTGGGCAGATGTGTCAGCCCCGTTCACAGCCAGGAGGCAGACTCTCGGGAAGGGACTTGCCCACAGTCACCCGGTGCAGTGGCACACGTCGCCTCTGCCCACCTGCATTGAAAGCCCCTCCGTCTGGGGCCCGTGTGGCCGCAGGGTCGCCGCGGGGCTGAGAGGCACGCGCTCAGTGCTCCGGGATGACGCTGGTCTTTTGGGTTGGCACGTGCCGGGTGTCAGAGCTGAGGGATTTTTCCCCTTCAGGTTTAAATGCTGCTTTTGTTGGTTTTCTCTGCTCTTCCCCGGCAGTATACCCTCAATGGCAAGAAAGTGGAGGTGGCCGTGAAGCAGATCATCGCTGGGAAAGCCGTGGAGCACCGCGGGGCCTTCTCAAACCCCGAGACCCTGGACTTGTACCGGAACATCCCTGAGCTGCAGGACTTCTGAGCCGCCCGGCCTGCGGCCTCTCGGCCACACGCGTCTGGACTGTGACTTGTATGTTCAAGAATTGCTTAGAAACCCCCGCTTTTCTGACAGAGGATTCGCACCCCGTGTCTGTAGCTGCGGAAGAACCGTCTCTCTGTTCCCAGCTCCGTCTGGTGGGTGCCTGAGGCTCCACACGCTGGAGCGGGGTCCTGACCTTCAGAGGCCGAGAGGGAGCAGCCGGGCTGCGTGTGGCAGTGCTTTAGTTTGTATGTCTTTGCACACGTGCTCCCACGTGCACTCCCAGAGGAGCCGGGGTCGTGTGTGCACACACGGTCACGCCGACGCCCTGTCGACTACAGGGTTGACCAGCATTCTGGCGACAAGCACACCCCTGAGGGGCGGCCTTGCCTTCCGCCTCGTACTTATGGTTCCCCTTCGCTCTGTCAAGGCGCAAATCTATTTCTTCCCTGTGCATTGGTCCCCAGGCTCTGGCCGTGTCCCTCAGGGCCCGTCGTCCCTCAGGGCCCGTCCATCTGCTGTTGCACGTTGACTGTGACCAGGCCAGTCCCCATGCGACTTGACAGCACCTTCTTTCAGCCGATGGCTAGCACTCGGCGGCCACGGCTCTCGCGTTGTCGGTGTGTGATGGATAGAATACATGCGGTTCCTGGTGGAACTGTGTGTCACCCCCCAACCAAACGGCGCTTCCCAGCGCACAGAAAGTTCCCTCTGGAGAACGAGTGGGTTTCAAGCTTTAATAGGATCTTTATTTTGTGGACATTGAATGGTTTAAAAATTTTTTTAATGTTACTTAAGTGCGGGGTGTGTGGGTGTTTGAAGAACCGGACGTCCACCCTGGCGGGTGGTGTCGCCTTTGGGGGTCCGGCGAGCCCCAGCAGCGGGTCACTGTGGGTCCTGTGGAGACTGAGCTGCCCCCTCCTCCCGAGGGCTCCTTGGGCCCTCACGTGGAAATCGTGTGGACAGTGCTTATAAATCGAGTCGCAGGGTTGACAGCCGGGTGGTCTGTATGTAAAAAAGTGCAGCATGTTAACAGACTCCTGTAATCCTAGTGTTCATTTTTGTATTTTTTTTAAACTGAGCACAACGAAATACTTTTCTGAATCCTTTTTCCTCTGGATTATAAAAGTATGGCGGAAAAGTGCAATGAGGAGTTTGATGCAGTAAGCGTGTGCACACCCACACGTGCGCGGTCTGCCGCGTGTTCTCTCTGCAGGAGGGCACTGGGTCCCAGCGTGAAGCAGCTGTTGCTGATGCGCTGGCCGGAGGCCGTGCCCGGGGGACCTTTGTCCAGCTGGTGGGGGCCTTGCCCGGGTCCCGGGTACCATGCATCGGTCCCTGGTGACCAGATGGCCAGCGAGGACTTCTTGGTGTGCAGCCCCACGCAGAGGAGGGGAATGTCCTCGTGCTGGGCGCCCCCGGGCTCAGAGCCGGCCGGACTTCTGCACTGCAGGTCTTATCGTTGCAGGAGTCCTGTGTCACTTGGATTGTGTCTGGCTGCATGTTGCAGAATCCAGGCTCCGCACAGCGGGGCTGCTCTCTCTCCCGTCACAGGAGGTGGGAGGCAGGCCGTTTCCCTGGGGTTGATACAGTGACTGCGCAGTGAGCGGCATCCAGCCCCTCTGTTGTCCGTGCTCTGCCAGCATCAGTGTGTGGCTGCCCCACCTCCAGCCTCCGTCTGTGTTCCAGGCAGGAGAAGGGAAGTGATGGGGGCTGGTGAGAGGCAGAAGGCCCACCCCTCCTGAGTCCCCTTTTTATCACCAAAACAGTGGCCTTTCTGGAAGCCCACCACGTGCACATCTGCTTATGCTCAGGGGATAGAATTGGGCCACACGGCCATCCCTGGCTGCAAGGGAGTCTGGAGAACTGTGCATTTTTAAACAGAATCTATTACGTTTTTGTAGTAGTTTCTGGTTGCTGCTGTAATAAACACCACAAACTCCGTGGCTTAGAACAACACAAGTTTATGATAGCTCTGGAGGTCAGAAGTCTGACGCAGGTCTCCCTGGGCTGAAGTCAAGGTGTCGGCAGGCCGTGGTCCTTCTGGAGGCTCCTTGCCTTTTCCAGCTTCTAGAGGCGCCCACGTCCCTTGGGTGGTGGCTCATTCTTCCATCCTCAAAGCCTGCACTGCCTGGCACTCCCGCCTCCCTCTGCACATATGAGGACCCTGTGATGACATTGGCCCCACACGGATAGTGCAGGGTAATGCCCCTATTTCAACGTCTGCTGACTGGCAGGCTTAATTCCATCTGTGGCCTTAAATCCCCCTTGCCATGTAACGGAACATTTTCACAGGTGCTGGGGATTGGGATGTGGGCATCCTCGGGGGCCGTTATTCTGCCTCCCTCACTCTGCAAACACGCGGGGGTCCTGCTGGTGAGGAGGAAGCGGGGAGGGGTCCTCAGGAAGCTGTGAGCCCTGAGCTGGAAGAAGGAGCATTCGGGACCCCTGGTTGTGGACTGCCCCAGGCTGGGCTCGTCCTCCCCGTGTGACCGGCCTGCCAGCCTCCCTCCTGTGCCTCAGGTCAGGCCCGGGACCCCCAAGCCGTCTCCTCTGGCCGGGTGCTTGGAACTCATCTCACACTGACCGCGCCTCAGGAGTCATCAAGGCTCAATCGCCGTGCCCTTAGTTCCGGCAGGGCGGCCCAGGCTGGCCGGGCCCACACGTCCTTACGAATAAGCCGCGCTGGACAACTTCATTAACAGAGACAGATGGTCTGGAACAGCAGCCCCAGACCCCGCGGCGCCGGCCCCCCGTGCTGTGCCTTGGCCCGAGCGTCACTTCAGAAGCCACCACCTGCCGGCCAGCTGTCTTCCTTCTCTCGGCGATGGCCGAGGGCTGCACCACGCCTGTCATCTTCCTGCCAGCCCCTTTCCTTCCCCGCCCTGCACCTCCCCCAGCAGCTTCAGGAAGCACAGGGATCTCGCTGCGGGCTGCGGCCCGGCCGGGGCAGCCAGGATTCCGGCTCCTGCTCGTCTCCCGCAGCCCGCAGGCCTTCGAGCGCTGTTCCTCCTCGGGGCCTGCCTGCCCACCTCCAGGAACTTGCTCAAGGCTGGAGGCTCCTTCCCACTCGCACCGTGCCCACCCTCACCTCCTCGCCTGTGCGGACTCTCCTCGGGCCTGGAGCACCGTGTCAGGTCACTTGATCCTCGTCCCCCTCCGTCTGTGCTGGGCTCCTCTGCACTGGCTTCCCATCTCCCCACTCTCGCTGCGGGTCCCTGCCTGCTGGCCCCGTCCCTGCATGCTGGGCCCTGGAGGACCCCAGATGTGCTCACTCACCCGCATCCCGAGCCTCGAGCAGAGGCCTGAACCCACCAAGGCTGGGGACAGGCGTCTCCGTGACCTGCTAACCCACCTGTCGCTGTGGGTGGGGGTGGACAAGAGAGACCGTTCCCCCAGAGCTTCAAATGCCCACGATGAGGGCGTCACGGGGAATAAACCTTCTTCGAGGGCCCAGCCACATCCCCCAACCCCGGGCTCCAGCCTTCAGAGGGAAAGTCGTACACATTTACGGAGGATAAGTTGTAGTCAATAGGGTACAGGCTAGGCTGCTGTGATGAGCACCCCCCAAATCTGGCTCAGTCGGGAAGTTTTTTTCCTGTAACAGCCCAGACGTAAATGGGTGGACTGGGGGGGTGGGTGGCTTGGCTTTGCAAGGGCGCCCAAGGACCCAGGTTTCTCCCATCTGGTTGCTGCGCCATCCCTGGTGTGGCGGTCTCGTCCGTGTGGCCACTGCTGGCTCACCGCACTCACCCCGCAGCCCTATCCCTTCTGCATACGTCCCATCAGCCACAGCTTTGTCACAACTGCACTCAGCTGCAGGGACGCTGGGCAGGGTGCTCCCTGGCTGGTCCTCCCTCGCTGAGTCCTGCTGACCTGTCGCTGGAGAGTCGACCTGGGCGGAGGGCGTGCATGCAAGGGCAATGTTTGTTTGCATCTGCGTCTCTACCTTTTGAAGGTAAACTGTAAGGTTTGTGAGACAAACTTGCTGGTTTTTATAACATTTTGGCCGTGTGTGTGTATGTGCACGTGTGTGAGTGCTTGTGTGTGAACGTTCATATACGTCTGTGCATGTGTATATGTGGGTAAAGATGTGTATTTGTGTGTGTATATGCTTATATTTGTGAATGTGGGTGTGCCTGTGAAGGTATTTGTATGTGTGAACCTGCATATATTTGTGAATGTGTGTGCATGTGTGTGTAAGGGTGTGCATTTGTGTGTGGATGTGTGTGAATGTGCATATATGTGTGAATGTGTGCATGTGTGTGCACGCCCACTGAGACTGCACACCTGTCCAAACCCAGAGGAGCAGAGCAGTGGACCCGTCGAATGTTGTTTCTGTTTTCAGCCCAGGGTAGTGACCGAGCCCAGCACCCACCCTGGGGCGGCCAGCAGTGCTGTTCCTCCTGCTCACGTTGCCCCGTCCCCTCGTAGCTGCTCACAGCTACACGGCCTCAGCCCAGGCCCCGAACAGTTTCCTGTTTGGGGACAACTTTGTGTCCCAATCAATGGCTTTTCCAGGGTGTTCTGCAGAGCGGGGGCCCAGGTACTAACTCATTTGTTCAACTGAGGTGCCCTGTGTTTGTCACTGGGGCCAATGTCACCAGGGCCGGTGAGCTCCTCGTGCCATGGAGTGTCCATCTTGGGGAGGGAGACAGATGGTCAGCAAGGAAACAAGAGAACGTCTGACGGAGAACGGTGGTCAGGGGCCTCCGAGGAGGTGACACTGAGGCACGGCCTGAGCAGGAAGAGGCCGCCATGTAAGATGCGGGGAAAGCCAGCGGGAGAGGAGAGAGCGCGAGCAAAGTCCGGAGAAGGGAGTGGACTGACCTAGAGGGGAAAAAAAGGTGATTTTGAGAAAGCAGGGCTGGAGAGCCGAGGGGGAGAGGCAGGCCGGCCGCGGGGCGGATCTGGTGTGGACCGTGCTCCAGGGCAGCACAATCCGCGTGGATTTCGAGCCCTGCGGTGACATCGGCGGACGCGCATTTACAGGGTGGCGCCTGGCGGGGGGCGGGAGGGTCTGGATTGAGCACGGGGTGGGTGGGGGACGCCAGCACACACGGCGGAGACGACCGGGAGCCCGCGGGGTTGGGCCGGGAGCCTGAGGCCCCGCGGTTCTCTCCGAGCCAGCTGGCCGCGCACAGGAGCGCAAACTCCTGCTGAAGGCCGCCTGCCCTTCTGTCCCCGCCTTCAGGGCCGTCATAAGCAGATCAG